AAATAGAAATGGTATTCAAGTATTTTAAATTAAATAAGAAATTTAATTTTCTAACGATTACTTAGAAAGGGACGTTATTTTTAAGTTTATATGAAATATACGCGAAAGTAATAACTGTAGATGGAATAAGTGTAAAATAAACTAAAATATAAATAAATAATCTACTTTAATAAAATATGAAGGTTGAAACTATGTACAGTTGACCGAGGCGAATAGGATCATGCGGCGAATCGGATAAAAATAAGAATATTTTCCATATTTTGTTATAAAAATCAGCATGCTGACCGTCGATATTACTTCACACACTCCAATGCATCTTAAATTGTTTCAAACCGTTGTTTGCCACCAACACGTGTTAGAATCGAACGCGCGCGAGCGTAACAAATTCGTGACTTGTCTAAAATACGTCGATTAGAATTTCACATATAAAATGGCAAGCTAAGCTTGAAAAATTAAATGTGTTGATTATTATTAGTCTCTCAAATGTCTAAATTCAGTATTTAACGTACTTTAGATTTTTATATCGTATTTTGTTCATTTATCACATTCACTTTGAAATCCTTCGGAACGGGGCTATTCGAATTAAATCGTACGGGGCGAATCGGATTTCTGTTTTTCCTCATTTTTTTCTGTATATGATTGTAAATATCATAATTATTTATATATAAACGTACAAAACCAGACGAATCAGGGATCACGGTGTCCAGAAACAATGAAAGGCACAACAATAAGAGTTAACTCCAAATAACTGGCCATACGTCAAGTTCCGGAAACTCATTACATACCTTGTACAAAGAAGACTTACTTGTCGAATAAATAAAAAGACCAATTTTACATTTCACATCACTTGTCAACAAAAATATTTGTTGAAAATCAATAAAACAAGTTAAAGATTAGACCAACCAAGGTCACTATTAAAAGAAGGATGAAAACTAATAAGAATGGATGAATTTATTACATAAATACAGGATCTTCCAGAGAATGATAATGTATTTATTGCAATGAAGAATTTATCTAACCACCTTCAAAAGATTGGATTCAATGCAATCTTTGGGAAGAGTTGTGTCACAAAAACTGTCTTAATATATGTAGTGTTAAAAGGTAGTATATTTGCGACAAATATGCCAATAATTGATTTTATTATCGTTAAATTGTATAATTTCAGATTAAATAAAAAGTTTTTACACAAAATAGAATTTCTTTCTAGATCCTGGAATGATCAGTGGAAAACTAATAGTTAAAAGTTAGAATAAAAATTTCATTTTACGAATTTATTCTTAATACACACGCAGCTTCAATATCAGTAGAAAGAAATTGTAAAAAGCTTAAAAACTTAAATACTTTATAAGCAAAAAATTGAAAAGAGAAATATCTGCTTCACTCCGGAATTATGGGCGAATTGGATATTCCTCACTTTTCAAGGAATAACAAAGCACTGAACAACACTTAACCGACCGATGATTAAGTAAGAGAAATTTCGTTATATTCCCAATACTTTTTACGTTTACAGAAAGAAGAAGTAAACTATTAATTCTGCCAGCATATGCTCTTTCCCAGAGAAAATATATAAAATCAAGAAATTGACAATAGTTACGATTAATAACTTATAAACAACTTCAATCTACGACAAAGTCAAAACGTGTATTTTTATTCTACCAGCTGGGTTAACTTGCCTTACAACAACGAGTCAGATTCGTGGTGAAGATTTTAACCAGAATTTAACAAGTGCGAATACTACTAAGTTCTTTAGAATTCAAATTAAATATTATTCTTCAGTTGTCAATAATTATACTTGGACTTAGAACACGTCTAAAATTTGTCTGTGTCTTCAACCAATTATTAATGGTAAAATACTTGTATTCTCATAGCTGAGAAATAAATCATAAGGCAAAAGGTTAAGGTTAATATTGTAAAGACCATAATTTTGCTGGATCGAATTAAGTGTCGACCGAGAGTCACCTCTCGGGTGCAAAGGGCTAAACTCGTAGAAGCTAGCCTCCGCGCAGCGCAATGAATAATTAAACGTTCACCGTCTCGGACGCTGGTCGGAAACGTTCGACTGCTCCGTCATTCCGATCGGAGCAACGACACGCATCGATGTGTCGGTGACAACGGAGAAAATTGCATCGATCGTGCGGCCGCTAAGATTCAATATATTTAGCATACAGAGGGTTAGTCGAAATGACACACGATCGACATCCCGACAAGACAATCGCACGGAACGATCGAGCGTAATCCGGCACCCCTACTTCGCGGAGCTACTCCCCAACTGCGCGACCCTGCTTTACAATACATTGGAAGCAACCGAACTGCCGGTATATCCGTCTTGCATCGAAGATTCCCCGCTATCCGTCCGCGCCGTTTGTTTTTCCTTTTAACGTGGCACCGCGGCAGGGAGACACGGCCTGTCCACCAACGCTCATCAACCTCATCAAGCCCCGGCGAGACGGATCTGGGGATTTTATGACGCGGACCACTCCAACACGAAGTTTGTCATTTCCTGATTACCGGGGCGCAAGACGTACAGTTGGGTGATGACTTGATGTCTAACGCGAAGGTACAAGGACAAGAGCACCCCTCGTCGTTTATAGTTATTTTGATAGTTTAACCCTTAACACGTTAAACACCACGAAAATCTTGACCGTTTTTTCGTAGAGTTATTCGTTTGTAGCAAAGAAGGGCAGGAATAATTATTAATTGTTTAGTGTTACGATCCTGCATTACACTATTATCAACTTAGTTACATTATTAAACGTTTTCATTCAACGTCGGTTATCTTAAATGTTACGATTGATTTCAAGTGATTTGAAAGCGTCGGTTATCAGTGACTGACATAGCGCTAACATGTTAACGAATGAAAGGCCCTAAACGGCAACATGTAAAGAATTTAATCAACTAAATATCGTGAATTTATAACTAAACCAACCAATTTAAATGTGATGTTTAAGTTTTCATTTTTGGAAACGTTTTGTAAGCTTTCTCCTAATTTTCTAGCGTCTTATGGGCGAGTATTACAAAAATAGCTCTCGACTGTTAAGAAATAATTTTACTTATAGTTTTGATTGGTTACGCATAACCGTATTAACGAATAACAAATTAGCATTATAAGAAAAATTAGAACTAACCAATTACACACACATTCCTCAGCCGAGTCATCAAATGATCTCTCTACAATATAGTTGGGAAATGACTTGGTGCCTAGCGCAACGGCATAAGGGCAAAGGGGATCTTTCTATTTTACAATTTCGCGTGACCGTAGTAACAAACAGTGAATTAACACGTTGACTGCCATGAAAAACATCAGCGTTTTATGTATCGCTTATTCTTTATAAAAACAGAAAAAATTATTAATTATTTGGTAGCAAACCTTTTACGTTACACTATTATCTAGTTATTTAAGCTTGTAAACATTTTTATTTGACATCAGTTGCCTTGCAAGTTATAATTATTTGTTTGTAATTTGGAAGCTCTGCTTATCGGTGACCGCCGTGGTAGTCAACGTGTTAACGATCAAAGACATCAAAAAGTAGGAGATAAAATTAACAGAAAATTAGACGAGAAAAAATGAACACTGATTGATTAGCTGAATTTCTTAGCCTAGCCGTCAAGTGATGTTCTAGCAGTAGATAGGGGAATCCCATTAACGCTGAATATTTAGAATTTGTTAAAATATGTGAAGCTTAGTGGACAAATTTTGAGGTAAAATTAGAAAGAGTGGGACTAAAAATATTCTGACTTCTGCTACGCAACAATACTAAACGAATTAGCGGAGAAAAGGATTCTTTGTCACGTAATTTAATAAGTATTTATAAATCTTGAGGTTTTGTAATTGATATATTTATAAAATTTAATTTAAATATTTTTATATATGTTGGTAGGGTAGGTTTTCATTTCAAGACAGAAATGATTGGATTTAATTGAAGTACAAAATGATTTGTATACGATTTGTGTGTAATATGTATGTGATTATAAATACTGGCGGTAATTGACAGCGAAATTTTCGAACGATTGTTAACCTAAGAGTAAGTGCTGTTACCGAAAAGTGATTAAATAATTTTATGTTTTTTGTAATTGTTAAATGTACGGATGAAATTTATCAAAATTCGATAAGGCTACATAGCTTGTATTAATTAAATCAAGTTTGAAAATTTTCGAATCATTTTCATTTATTTAATTATTAAGATGTTTCTCAGCTAATAAATGTAATACACTTATTCCAAATTCGTAAAACTGAAGTTTTTCAAGAATCGTAAAATATTCTTCAACGAAGGGGAAATTTTCAATTTTTTATACAGAACTGAAAAAAATGGCATGTAATACGAACATATACAAACATATAAGTAATACGGTAATTTTCTGAATAAAAATATAACAATAAATGACAACAATATTTTAATTTTACTTTTAGAACGAAACAAAGTACCTGATCAAAACTAATAGGTATTTTTTAAGTATCCTTATATAAAATGCTTATCTGCTGTGCGTTCTAGTAAATACCTGAAACCGCGACACACATAAAAACCACGCTGTGATAAAGAACTAAGATAATCATCTCGTAATTCTCTATAGTGAAACACCAGTCCCTTCCAATTCAATTTAAAAACATCTCGGTAATATAACATACAACAAATTAAAATAATAAAATTCACGACACTGAGTAGCATCGATAATTTGTTCTTCCTTTGCAAATGAAATTCCAAATTTACCAAAAAACGAGAGACCAATTTAAAGCACTTCAAACATTCATTCGACGATGAACTCGAATAATCAATACCACAATCACAGAGCTGTATATTCCAACTCGGAATACTCCAACCATATTAATCTACACCGAGAACTGCAGCTAATTTCCAAACCATATTCATCAGCCACATTATCAGCAGCAACCACTATTTATCTTCACAAATCAAGTTTCACTCACTCCCAATAAAAATGAAGGGGCGGTAATCGAACGAATCACAGACGGCAAACATTGCTCCAATTTTACGTGAAATACTTACCTTCATGATTCCTCGAGATTTGTGCGATACCACGGCCAGCGACCGATGATATCTCCCGTAGTATCGATCACACGAACGTAATCCGCAATCTCAAACGCATCGCGTAGAACCGCGTGGAAGATAAACGGATTCACGGGGCGCGCGAGCAAGCGATAGCTACGCCCGAGGAGCGCAGCATGGCTCGAGACTCGGTGCGCTCGACAGTATAATAACGTAATTCCCGAGCGGGGTGCGCTACACGAACACAATCCACGGGATGCGACTCGACGTTAGTATCGTAAGAGTAGGCGTGGCTGGAACGCTACAGGAGGGGCTAGCGCTGGTTCGCCCCCCCATTGGCGGACACACGCTCCGCCTACAGTGACGAATCCAGTTCTGCCACGCGTATGGAGCGCGCGCGCATCTGTCAACCCCTCCTAGCCCACGGCACCGCTCTACCTCGATTGGTCGCTTCCCGCACGAGGATCATTCTTGAAGATCCTTCTCTTTAGACGGAGATAGCCTGGCATAATTGTACAACACGTCCCGATAGGTTTCAATGAGATGTTCCTAGAGTTTGGAACTTCGTTTCGGAAATATGGAATTGCGTAAATCTGCTCGGCGCGGAGGACATTTTATACGCGATATTGTTGGTCCGTTTGGGGACAGGGTTAATCAATACAGGCGTCAGAAATTTTGTTGATGTCTTGAGAGGATAGATTTAGAGGAAATTATAGTTGGTTTCTTACAGATGAGTTTGAAAATTGATAACTCGATTATTTAATTTTAAACACTCTTTCGTTGGAGTTTCGACTTTTATTTTGTAGACGTTGGAACGATGAATATGTTATTATTCTGGGAATAAGAAAGACAAGTATGTTATCTAGAATATACGTATGGCGAAAAATTTTGCATTTGATATTGTGAAGATAAAAAGAGAAATGTATTTCACGTAAAGTTGTAAATATTATAGATCTCCTCTAAAACTCGTAACAGTAGATCGATCTATTAACCCCTTGCCTTATAGTAGCGTCATACTCACTGTGAAGATTTTAAACAGAATTTAACAAGCACAAACATTACTCCATTCCCGTGAATTCCAATTAAACATTATTCCTCTGTTAATTATTATACTATAGAGAAAAATGGACACAGAATATATCTTTTTCTTTTCCAATAAATGATTAACGACGAAATAGTTACATCGATCATATCCCAGAAATAAATCGTAAGGCAAAAGGTTAATCGCGCGAATAGAAGCGAAATAATTGAAAACCCGACAAGGAATCAATAGGAATGAACTAAAAACCTTTGCGGAAGAATGCAACGAGCTTAGGAGAAAATATTACGCGAACGGTTGATAGGCAACGCATGCATGCTGTCAACGGCGAAATATCTTCTGCGAGTGCACGACGTCCGTAAATACTTAGTCGAGATGAAAGCATTAGAAAAATGGAAGCGTAATGTCCCGGAACGAGTACGGAAGATGAAAAATACGCAAACAGTATAAGACTCGAATGAAACGGTATGAAGCGGACGCGTGAAAAATGACCGGTGAATTTTATCGACCTCGGTGCGTTCACCGACATGCTTTTCGCATTTCCACAGACGCAGCCACTCACCGGTGTTCGCGCGTAGACGCTTATACACGTACGACGAATATAATAAATAACAATACGAGGCTGCCTACAGGTACCGGGCCCCGCATAGCTTCACCCTATACCTGAACCGCCGCGGCGCGTCATTAAAATTATTTATGGGGAAATAAGAATCCGAAGCCTTTAAGTCCACCTCTGAGGTTTGCAGGGATAACCCTCCGTCCACTGTATCTCTTATCCTCGATCCCCTTTAGTCCGAAACCGTCTGTCCAGGCTTATGGGTTAGTAGATTAAACTCACGCTCTTCGCATGTTCCACTGTATAAGTTCGCGCGCGATTTATTCGGCCGTGTAACCTAACCGCAATATAAGTAAGAAACGTTGAAAGTGGAGGATTCGAAAGCGATAGACTGAATAGATGTTATGCTTTAATTTTTTTCAGAGATCTTCGTGGATTTAACACTTTGTTGATCGGCAATTTTACGCATAAGCTATCCGATACCACCGGTTATTATTTTGTAATTAAATATGAAAGTGAAACATATAAATAAACTTTAATATACTTTATTTATGCGTAATGAATTGAAATGAATCTTTGAACATATCTTTTATATAACTTTGAATATTTTTCTTTTGCAATAATTCTATATTGCCCTGCGTTTCAAAAATTGAAATAGCTAATGCAAGTGCAAACACGAGTTAACTCGTAACCGGTCAACAATGTGTTAACTTTGGAATAAATGGATGATTTGTACACTGATATTTCTAAACTTTAACGCGTGGAATGCCATAGGTGTCACTGGTCACAACCGAGCAAGTAGAATTACTATAGCTCACTGAATTAACCTTTTGCACTCCGAAATTGCCCAATAGAAATATTTAAGGTTTTCCGATAAGATACGAACAAAGTTCTTTGAAACCAGCTAGTGAGAAAATATACATAAATTAAGAAACAAAGCTATTTTATTCCAATATTTCACATATTGATGCGTTATACAAAGCTTAATGTTACATATAACCTTATAATTATACTATATCATATCAAATGGTGACTGAGAGTCATCTGTCGAATGTAAGGGGTTAAACAATGACTATTTATAATGTTTATTCATAATATATAACAGAAATGTCTTCAAAGAATCATCGTTTAACTCTTTGCACTCGACAGGTAACTTAGTCATCGCTTGATTTGATATAGTAAAATAGACAATCAGCTAGATGGACGTACAATAATGATAATTCAATTCAATCAAATGATTGAATATTATATTTTTTCCATTTGGTGTATTTTGTTCTATGAAATCGTGCAGTGTTCAAAGTAGTAATGACACCGGAAGATTTTTATTTTTATAGAAATATTAACACGTTGCGGACTAGTAGTTTTATTGCTAACTTTACCATCGGCCAAGTATAGTTCATTCGAAATGACAACAATGAAAAGCCGAGAATTCTTGTCATTGACCACAGATTCTAGAACAGAAAACATGAGAATTCTCGTGACCCATGTGCAATGTGTTAGCCATACCATGTTCAAGCTTCAAGTGAATTAACGAATTTGAAGAATAATATACCGTTGGAATTTTGAAATATACCAATGCGAAATGATGTTTTGTTTGTAGTTTTGATTGGTTACATGTAACTGTATTGATGAATAGCAAAGTAGTATTGCAAATAAGACGAGGAAAGATGAAAACTGGCCAATTAGTCCTGCATTCCTCAGCTTAACCATCGAGTAGTAAACAGGCAATACCGATGTAGCAGAATAAGACACCTTCATAACGAGGAACATGTATGATACAGTAAATCAATACCTACATAAATATTTCATTTCTATAAAAAATAGTTTTATTAGGATCAATAATAACAATATTGAGAAAAGAAATATTCAGTTCATGTACGGACACGCAAACGGAAACGCCAAGGATGCTAAATGTCTCTATTGAAAGAGCTTCTTCCAAAAAAAGATATCCTCTTACAAGTAATATTCAGTTATGTCGAGAAATATTTCTTAATCTGTGTCCCGTTACCGAAGAAAATTAGTTTCTGCAACTTCTTGAAGCATATATTAAGCACTCCATCAATACTTAACATATTGCGGAGTGGTTTTATTGCTAACTTTACCCATTAACCAGGTATGTTTCTAAAGGTACAAGAGTTCTCGTGATTGACTATAAGTACTTGAATGGAAAATACGTTCGCTATGTATGGATTATAAAGGAATTTAGTTTCTTACTTTTGGTCAAACTATACCGATGATTAAAGGACAAAATAATCCCCAAACGGCAATAAAACCGGTGGTACAGCTTTGAAGGACTAGAAAAGGACTAGAAGTACTAGAAAACAGACCTTATGAATTGCTCGAAAACAATGACCTACATAATAGCTATCACGTTTATAGCAGCGGTCATAGGTTTAATAGTGTAGAGCTATAAGGGATGACGTCCACTGGCGGCGCGCGGTTCGGTAATTATGGCTGCTTAGTTTGTTATTGACCTAGCCACTCAAGGAAGAATTTTTTATTATTATTCATTAACCGTTGAAATACACTTAGAAATAGAACAAATATAAAAATTATGAGTTTTCCTAATAAATTATAAATGATGAAGTAGTTGTATCGATTATACCTGAGAAATAAATTACAGGGTAAAGGGTTAATCGCTTCAGACTCGGCGCACTTTATAATATACACTGTTTTACTACTTCAAAGTCTGACAAAATACTAAAACTGTGACGGGTAATCATCTGTACACCTTCCCTATGACTCTGTTTCTATCAGAAAAGTATTAGGTTGTCCCAAAAGTTCGTACCGCGGTGTGCTCGCACTAAAACGACTGAACAATTAGAGTGACTAATTTCCAAATTTATGTAGTAATTAGAACAATACGTTTTTTGAGATTCGAAGGGTCCTCTAATCTCGTATCTGAGCAAATACACAAATTTAATTACAAATATTTTATAAAATAAAATACTTGCAAAATAAAAATTCTGAAGTGGATCAAATTGAACCGTTAAATTGACTTTTTAAAATTCCTCTATAGAAACTCCAAGAGTGCAGCTACCGAGGCTTCAATTGATTTACAATTCAGTTTGCGTATTGTTAAATCGATTTCTTTAATAAGTTTGAAAATAACATGTATTACCTTTTTAATAGTTGCAGAAAAAAGAAATCAGAAAAGGATCATTTTAACTTGTCCGGTAGTTTTAGTGTCAATAATTCTTGTGTTACTTTTGTCATCACAGAGCGATACGAGTTTAAACTGCTCCAATTTAATAAGTAGAAGCTATTCGAGAGTGACAAATCAGGAAATTATAAAGAATGTGTATTCAACACTAAACTTATCAGACGGATCAAAATTACCCATTCCTGATTTCTTCTTACTACAATTATTAAAAAGATGACAGATGTTTCTTTGAGAAATTATTCAAGAATTTGATTTAGCAATACTTAACGTATACTACTACTATTTTATTCGAAATTATGTGGTCACTGATGATACATAGAACGATGGTCCATTGTTGTTAGGCATGTGAACATAATGTTATAAAAAATTGGGACTGAAGGTGTTAATCACCGTAGCTTCTAGATCATTCACCAAAAACACGTCCTGTAGAAGCAAACAAGGCGGACGGTA